CTGGGCTCCCCCCTCCCAGAGCTTTGACCTTAGGGAAGTGTCTGTGTGAGGAGGACGGTGTGGGGTGAAGCAGGGGTGGGAGCAGACCCCTCCCCAGCCCTGTGGATTCGAGGGGATGAGGCACCCCTTTGTGCCCAGGGCATGGCACATCCTGGGGTTGCCATGCCAGCCCTGGGGTCACATCCTGCTCTGTCCTTCCAGGCTGACACCCAGATGCAGCACCCGGGCAGGGTCTCCTTCAGGTTCATCAATAAGCTGCAGTTGGTGAGTGGCTCCTTGCTGGGCACTGGGGGACAGGGACTGGAGCTGTCTGGTGCACGGGGGGTGTGTGTGTCCCCAGGGGGGTCCATATCGGGGTATATCCTATTGTCCTTCACCCCCATCTCCTTTCTCTTGTCCCCCTTTATGGGACACAGCCCTGGGGGGACCCACCCCACCTGGCTAGGTGGCTAAGTCCACGGCAGAAAGGCATTTTGGGGCTCCGTGCCTCAGTTTCCCCAAGAGCGAGTTGGGTGATGCTATCTCTGCTCATCCAGTAACCAGTTTCTTTTTTTGGGGGTGTCCATGTCCTCGCAGAACGACTCGGTCTGCTATGTGAAAGCTGCTTTTCCTCTGCTGGACAAGATCCTGGAGCGAACGGTGTTCAAGGAGAACTCCCCCAACGCCAAAAAGATGCAGATGGTGCGCAGGATGTACAGCCGCATCGACGAGAACATCGACCCCTGCATCAAGGAGGAAGACGAGGAGGAGAGAAAGGTACGGTGTCCTCTGCCTCGTGGGGTGCCAGACTGGCAGGGGTGTGGGTCTGAGCCCTCTCCTCGGGTGAAGTGGGGTGTCGGGAGCGTTCTGGGGTGGGTGCATGGGCAGGACCTTGAAGTGGAGCAGAGGTGGGGTGTGCATGGACACGGGGAGCCGCGGAGGGGTCAAACCCTGCCCTGGGTGCAGCGTGGTACCCTGCGGTGGCGACACCGGGTGCCCGGCGGGGTTGTGGAGTCGACGCTGAGCCCGGTTCTGTCTCCAGCTCTCGCAGGAGTGCTTCGAGGAGTTCACCACCTCGCCCCACGAGATGCTGGTGCTGGTGAAGCAGTTCTTCCAGGACATCAAACAGCTGCTGCAGAGCCAGGAGACCTTCGAGAAAGACTGCAGCCACATCTACCGCAGGACCTGCTTGGGGCCCAAGAAGGCTGGACCCTCACCAGGTGAGGCGCCGAGGCTTTGCCTCTGCCTGGCAAACTCGTGCTGGGCTGGGGGGCTTGGGCTCGCCTGCATGGAGCAGCTTGAGAGCCGTGCGTGCCCGTCCGTGGGCACACACGGGCATCACGGGCACGGCATGTGTCTGCGTCGGTCCCTGTCTCTGTCGCTCGGCTGGCCTTGGTGTGTCGGCGAGCTCTGCGTCTGTGTCTGGGGAGAGTGGGGTTGGGAGGAGGGGCTGGCTACTCTTTGGAGGTGGGATTTGGATGGAATCCTGCTAAAAACAAGGCTGGAGAGATGCTGAGGGAGAACAAGGAGGCATCTCCATCAGCCTGGCTGGAGGCACCAGGCTCGGCTCCGTCTCAAAGCCCCAGCGCCTGGGGACTGTAACACGGAGAGCTGGAGGCGCTGGGACCCCTCTGCCACTGATGTGCTGCATGACCTCGGCTGCATCACTTCAACTGCCCCGTGCCTCAGTTTCCCCAACCAAGCCCTCGGGAAGAGTGTTGCCCGCCGGGGTGGAGGAGCCTGTGTTGCCGTCCGTGCTTTTGCGAGCGCCCGTGCCGCCTGTCTGCATGCCCATGGAGGACACGTCTCGCTGCCACCCGTGTGCTGGAGCTGTGCTGTGTCCCTGTGCCATGGGGGGACGTTAAACGTGA